GATTGGGATAACAGTTGTATGAGCCCCTAATAAAATGTTAAAAAAAAAAAAGAACCAAAGGGGGGGGCGGGGAATGTGCTGAAAACTTGGCTTATACATGAGTATATATGGTAACTTCTTTTGGTGTATTCAATAATGGTAATATACCCCTATTGTTGCTTTCAAAAGTCTTCTCGGTCATATAGCATTTAGAATTTGGAGGATTAATATATCTTTTCAAAGATTTTGCTTTTCTCCTTTTATGTGTAACTTATTTTTATGTTACTAAAATTTATCTTTCAGATGAAAATAAGAAAAAGTCTTTCTGAAATTCATGAACTTGAGAATATAGAAGAACATCAGTCTGTTGATATTGCAACCTTAGTAAGATGCTTTTTTTTTCATTTAAGTGTGTGTGGCATTCAAGGATAAAACCATCATTCAGGCTAATGGCATTTTCTCTCAACTTAAAAAAAAATCCTGTTAATTGAGACTAAACTTTAAGATGGCTATCTCTGGTCATAAATTAGGTAGTAACTACCTGGCATATAGTTTGCACATACTTTAATGTTAATATATAGCCTTCATGAGTAACAGTTGTATCTTCGACCAGATGTGTTAATTGTGCTCTGTCTACTGACCCATCAAACGACCTTGTGTAGCATGGTGTTTTTTACAATAGTTATTGTCAGAGGTATTATTCTTGGCCAAAGATAGCAGTAGCATCTTTGAGTTGTAGTTGGTATCTTTGCACTGTTTCTGTTTTCCCTCATAGAAATGATGTTCATTTTAATTCATCACATATTGTGAAGATGGTGTAAAATTGGATTGCACTTAAATATTGTCTAGTACAAGATGCATGTTTATATTCATGGGATATTTTTTGAAAGACAAAGTAGATCAAATAAAAATTACGCCTTCTGACTAACCTTAAAACAGTATTTTTAAAAACATTTTTCTCCTACATGTCATGTCTTCATTTATCTTAATTCCTAATTTAAAATTTTATTGCTTTACACTTCATTGTTATAGCTAGATTTATTGTAGTCTAGTATTGACTTTATACACACACATATGTGCATACATATTTGTGTTCAAGAACTTGCTGGACTGGATTTAGTAAACAGTATATTCATAGAGTACTTTTTGAGATCTCTGTTTTGCCGCAGTTCTGCCTTGGTTCCTAATTTACTTGATCTAGTTTACTCATGATTTATAGTTTCTTCTCTCTCAGAATTATTTATCTTATTATTCTCTTTGGTTACTTATGGTTTAATTAGTTGTGATGGTTCTGTAAATGTTTCCAGGAAGATGAAGCGAAAGAAAATAAAAACAAAATGAAGCTGGTTGAGAAAAGCATGGAGCAACGCAAACAAACGATGGAGGCTCTTAGAGATGTGAGAATGGAAGCAGAAGAGAAGCACGATGCCATCAAATTGAAAATTAATCAGCTCTTAGAGCTGGCAGATCCACTAAAGGTATATATTGTTGATATTTTGCTAGTTTCTCATTTCTTTGTGGTTTATATGCACTGTGTACTTGGTTATTCCTCTGAAGTATTTATGATTAAGCAAGATATGACCCCATAAAAATGGGATTACAAGCATGGTAGGACACAAACATCTGTCATTTGATCAATTAGTTTTAAAACGTCTGCCCATGGTTTTTAAAGTCCACCAAATTTCTATTTCCTTAAAAGATTTCAGCTTCCAAAAAAAAAAAGATTTCAGCTTCTATTTTTATACCAAATGAACAG